AAAACGAAAATTTGGCCATAAAAGAGCCAGGGCCAACATCTAGCCAGGTCAAAGCCAGAGAGGGTCAGAATTTTTACTTATTCTGATTTTGATTTCAAATTGATTGATAGATTCATTAATACATTCTCTCATTGGTGGACGGACTAAATTCGACTTGCTCACTGATAGACTCATTGACGTCATGGGGCCGGAAGCTGGAACTGGCTGGCATCCTTGGATCATTTGATCACTCATGGATCCAGCCGAATCGCTAAATTATTTGGATTTACTACAGCCCACTTCCAGACTTGCCGCGTCAATGATTAAAAAGTTTTGGGCAACTTGGAACTGATGTTACGCAAACCTAGTTTACTGGTCGGCTACCAATTGGATGGCTGACTCTTTTCTTGGCAGGGACTAGCACTGTTGCTCCAGCCATGATAACGTTCGTTCCTAAGACATCCAGTGACCAGAGCACCCATGCTCCAACCATAATAACGTTTGTGTTCCCAAAGCCTCCTGTGACCATGGTTCTAGAAAGTCCATCCTTCGCATTTTTTCGAAGCATTGGTTGTTTGATTCCAGGTTGAACAACGAGTTCTGAACTTGGGTTTTCAACGTGGGGATCAGAGTTGAACCTGGATTCGAACCCAAGTTGAACCTGGGTTGTAACCTGGTTGGAACCAGGTGCGAACCTTGGTTTGAATCCAGGTTGACCAGGTTGAACCGTTTGAATCCAGGTGAAACCTAGATTTGGAATCTAGGTTCGGAATCCAGGTTTGAACCCAGGTTCAAACCCAGGTTCGGAACCCAGGTTTGAACCTGGTTCATATTTGAAGCCATGTTTGAGTCCAGGATCTGGGGTAGGAAACCAGCATTCAGGTTTGAACTCATCTGCAACCCAATTTAAACTCTGGAAGGACATCTTTGAAAGGAAAGCAGGGAGAGCTTAAGTGGGCTTGAAGGGGGGCTTGAAGGGAGTTAAAAGCAGATGTTATTAAAAAATTCACGCCCTCTTTATCGTAAAGCGAAAAAAGAAGGGGGTGTTACGGGAGAGGCTTGACGGGGCGCTTAAGGGGAGCTTAAGGGCAGAGCTAAAGGGTCTTGAAAGGGGCGCTTAAGAGCTTAGGGGGGGCTTAAAAAGAGCTTGACGGAGGGTTTAAGGGGAGCTTAAAGGAGAGTTAAACGGAGGAGGTTACTATGAAAATTTCACGCCTCCTTCAATAGATGTCGAGGCGAAAAAGAAAAAGGATGTGCGGCGCGCTTAAGGGCAAGGTTAAGGGGGGCTTAAGAGGGGGGCGGGGGGACTTAAGGCGGGGCTTAAGTGCGCTTAAAGGGGGGGCTTAAAAATTATTATGAAAATCTTACGCCCCTTTAATAGATGTCGTGAGGCGAAAAAGAGCAAGGGGTGTTGGGGGGAGACTTCAAGGGGCGCTTCAGGGGACGCTTAAGGGCGGGGCTTCAGGGCTTGAGAGGGCTTGAGTGGGCGAAAGGGGCGTAGGGGAGGGCTTATGGAAGGGCCTGAAAGTAGAAGGGTTTAAGGGGGCTTTGAGGGGGGGATTAAGGGGAGGCTTAAGAGGGGGCTTAAGGGAAGCTTTGAGGGGAGGGGAGGTTTAGAACCCAGGTTCAAACCCAGGTTTGAACCCAGGTTTTAACCTGTGGGTTCAAACCTGGTTAAAACCCTGCATTTAACCTGGGTTCGAACCCAACCACATGATCAGTGCAGATAGCCATGCCAATCAGTCGTCCCGGGTGAGCGGAAGAGCACGCCAAAAAATGCGACAGTCAAGTTGAAAGAGCCCTGCTAGTTGGAGACACCGCCCAAGGAACCTCAGCATGCCGCTTGGAGTTAGACTCCTCAATAGGTCCTATGGTCCATGCTCCGGACGCGCTGACACTGAGCCACATCACATGGGGATTTTTGGATCTGCGCTCTTGGAACTGGCCGCGCGCAAGGAGCGGCAGGCACTTCTCAAGGGGTGGAGGCAGCCGAGCCAACAGCGTGACGTGGCAGAATTTCTTGCGCACCTGATTGACCCCCACTGTGCTCCCTTCTTTCTGGCTGGAGCGCTCGCAGGCTTGTCGGTGATGAATGTCACATCCGGGATGCCGGAGCTACGGCCCCCTTCCTTCCGCTGCAGGCGCAAGGTGTGCCCGACGTCTAGAACGCTGTCGAGGTCTGGCACCAACAGCTTGAAGTTCACGCGCTGGAACCGTGCTCCCAACATTCTGCTGATTATGCTTGGCAGGCTCGAACACCGTGGTAGATGCGTTCGCAAACTCAGGCACGTAATACACATGCCTACCAGCTTACATATCCCGACCTTTTCAGGGCAGGGCGCCAGCACTCATCAGAAGGAGCATACCCTGTTTGCAGGTGCCATCCATGTCGGCGATCAAGCCCACACGGGCCACGATCCTGCATTCAGCGTCCCCCCGCATCCTGAGGTCTCCTCGATGCGGGGAACTGTGGCTGAGACGACGATTCTCCGTGCAGATGGGGATTTCTTCATACATGATGATAATGCGGGTCCTGTTTCTCACAACATGGCTCATCTTCAGCTGTTGAGACACAACGCGTATGTACTGGCTCTCCAAAGATGAGATTGTGATGCCGGGCGTCACGAGGGGTTTCACCTTCGCTCAAAGTGCGCGGCATGCTGTCAGACTCCTCGGGTTACAGCAAGTCGCAAGCTGTATGGCGTCTTCACAAGTAGGATCGCCCGCATGTCTCCGACCCTGGGACCGCGTGTGAATGAATGAAAATGATGATCTAGGCCGCTTGGTGACAACGGGGCTTGCAGGGATCTTGTGTCACAACTTGATTGGAACTTGCCCACTCGTGTTCTTGATCGGAGATGGTTGCCTGACTCGTGACCCCTGTGTCTTGAAAAGTGTTGCAGATAGATATTTGATAGACCGTTTCATTTTGATTAAGCTTTACACTTGTGTGGTGATTGCAAGCGTTCAAATACTGAATGAATAAAGCGATGTCCATTCTCTTTTCCATTCACTCCCTCGTAATTCACAACCAACCAGTAGACTGGAAACTTATGTGTGTTCCTAGTTTGAAAAGCCCGTAGTCGAAGGAGGGGAGTACTGCAAGGCCAGACATGCCGTAATCAACAACAACTCAGGTGTTCCACGACAAGCAAATGTTGCAACTTACAGCATTTTAAAAGTTCCAAAGTTAAAACATTGCAAGACCAGCAAACCGGAAACTACAGCATTTGAAATTTTCCAAAACCAGCAGATGCTGGAAATTGCAACAGTTGGAGCATTATCCAAGACCAGGTGACCAACACATGCTGTTATTTGAAAAGATTTGAAGCATTCCAAGACCGGCAGACGTTGTAATTAGCAGCTTTCAAGCGTTGCAATACCATATAGGAGCGGGCCACACCCTGCAACATATTTCAGGTTTGGTTCAAAGATTTTGGTACTTTGCATAGGGAAAACGTTTTGGGCTTTGAACATTTGAAAGGAAGTGGCAGCGGACAGAGGCAACACGAATTCGCCTGCCCAACCCAGATGTCGCGAGTCCGATTAGGTTTTTGTGCCTTGCCAGAATTGCCCAGCAGAGGTCAATGTTTGTTAATATCGTGTGTTTTTTTTGTCAAACGCCAATGCTATTTGCATCCTTCTTTTTAAACGTAGCGTCGCGTCGCACTGTTCTGGGACTTTTTGTGTTGCTGTGCTGCAGCGCCAAAGGTCTCTGGATTTCCCTGCCCGTCCGAGTGTTCCCGCCTCAAAAGGTGAGTTAAACTGATGGCAATCCAAGCCACGTGTCTTTGTTTTTGGGGTTTCAAAAAATGAACGTGTTTCGGTTTTATACAGATTGATATTACTGTTCAACCTTTCACAAGTGTTCGCATCCTTCCTAACGTATCCATGCAAAATTGCATTTCGATAGGTGAATGACCGAGTATCAAGCTAACAGTTCCGGAATATGGTTGGGGGCAGGCATGCAATGGCATGATTCGGCACGGTTCCCAACACAACCAACCCCTCTCTTTGCAACCTGGTTGTTGTTGTCGTTATTTTTACAGGGTATATAAGTCAAGTTCGTTTTTCCTTTATGCGCACTTGTTGATGATGTGTGTCTTGGGGTAAACATGAAATGGTGGCAAGGAAGTTCCGTTCATTCAGGCGCAATTTCAGGTCATTTGCTATGCTCGTTTTGATTTGTCGTGTAGAATCTATGGCGTGTGAACCCTTTTTTTGAGCATGGTGATTCCACGTGCCTTGCATGATTGGACCGTGCGATACCTTGTGTATTTCCGTTTGTCCATTTGCTTTCAGAAAATAATCTTATAAGATGGTCGCACGACGCTTACAGTTCATGTTTATGAGTTTTGTTAACAGTAGTTTTTGTAGATTGCGGATCCCAAATATGAAATGTGTTGTTCAAGTTTTTGGAGAGGTTATCACAAGGTGAATCAGGAACCCAAACAAATTCATAAGATCATGTATATGGAAGCATGTTGCAAAAATCATCGTTTTTTTTTGGTAGTTTTCGTAATAGTAATCATATGCATCGCTCGTCTGTTGGCGGCAAGCCGTTGATGATGTTTGGCTGCTTGCACGTTGGTTGTCTCGGCTCAGGGGCACAAGTAGGTCCGGCTGTCCAGCATCATGCCTCTCAAGGTCAGTGCCAGACCGGATCTGCCATGTACTTCTGTGGGGGCTATTGCAGAATGATAGCAGGATAATTGGCATCGTTTCTTGCACGTGCTGCTTTTTCTGAGTTAACGTGGTAGGCGAAGCAGCAAGTCGAAGCGGTTTCCCTCGGGCCGCAAGTCCGTGAGGGTGAGGCAAGCCGAAAATATGCTTGTGTTGCTTTTTCTTGACACGGAGATCACCTGCAAGCATTTCCACAAAGATGTTTTCGGTTCAAGCGGGTAGTGGAGCTTGAGTGCCCAGATCTGTTTTCGACAAGGCGTGCAGGGCATGGGGCAGTTTCAGACTGGGTGCCAACATGCCAGTCCCACAGACTTGACTCGAGGTTTGGGCAGCGTGCAATGTCAAGCTCGATGAACACCCTTGAAATTTCCAATCTGGGAAGCTCCGGCCCAAGAATCAACAAAAGTCATGAGCAGTCGCGACCTGATAGTTTGTTCCATGTCGCACAGGCTCCGACGAGAGAATCGCTGCAAGGCGACAACGAGCGGAGGCTCACTCGTGCAATGTGTTCCTAACGCATGCTTCAGATTCCTCTGCCAAATGACATTTTTCCCAGCACGCTCCTTGTATTGGTGTCTCAGACTCGCGTGAGGCTAAGCTCAAACAAGACAAGGCTGGAGAGTTGGAGGGTGGGTTAGTGGAAGGAGAAGCTTAGCATCAGTTGTCATAAGTATTGGATACGAAGGAGGAAGCCGAAGGCAAGAAGACCAAAAAAGACGATGCAGCAGAGCAAGTCTCCCTCGGCAAAGAGCAATATGGGGCCACAGACTTAGACATGACTCGTTCGATACTCCTTGCTTCAACCGGTCATGTCATGTCCCAACTGGACTGAGAAATCGGTGGCTGAACTTGAGCGATTCCGCACCGAAACCTGGGAAGAGCTCCCACCCCGGCTCGGAAGCAGTCAGGATGTGCAGCTATTAGCTCAGCAGGTCTGCTGATTGTTGTTTTTAGGTTGACCAGCATTCGCGTGCGCTTCGACGATCAGGAGCTCTTTTGCTGTGCCAGTCGTTACAAGGTGCAAACATATCGCAGATGACCTAATGTTCTTGCTTTTGGCCAAAAGGTGAGAGTTATGAAGCCTTGACTTTGCAAGCCAGAGTTCGCAGCTTTATAGCCTGACTCCCGGTAATACAGGCCGGCCATCCCATTTGTCGTATGAGCGTTGCCTGCAGTTCAAGTCCTGGTATATATGTGCAGGAGAATCAGCGAAGGATTGTGGAGGAGAACAATCGCCTCGACCGGTACGAGGCCACACTGGTTGTTGCAGCAGGATTCTTGCCGTGGAATTCATCCTTTGATGGACGGGGCTATGGCCACGATCGGCCAGAGTTGCGGACTTCAGTCCCTTTGAATTTGCGTCTGAGTCCAGGCACTCCAGATCGAAGCTGTAACCAGCGGAAGGAAGAATGCAGCTATTGAAATGAAATGGGCATTGAGCTTGGAGAACATGCATGGAGAGATTCACAGTTGCATTGAACTAGCTACAAGCAAGCTGGCTGCAGGCAGACCTTCTCAATATGGACATACCACAGGCATGCGTTTGAGTCAAAATGATGCAGATGTTGCAAAGCTCATGCTATGGTACCACCTGAGTCCGTCACCAGAGTAGTTGTTTTGCGAGGAGTTGAACGATCAGCTTCAGTTCCAAAAGAGCGCTTGCAGACAGATCATTGAGTGAGACTCTCAGCAAAGCTGTTGATTTGCCGGATTTTCTGCTGAGGTTTCTGTTTGCTCTGTACTTGCCGAAGCACCCTGTAGACGATATGCCTGCATTTTCCCAAGATCCAGATCCCACAGCATTCTTCGTACATTTGGGGAGTAGAGCTGCAAAAGCCTTTAGACCATAATGGTTCATGTTGCCAGGCAAGCTTTCCTGACCGGTTGCCCTTTGATGCCTTGGTTGTTCTCAGCCAAGGTCCAAGGACAGGCGGATTGAAGATTTCAAGACCGAGTTGAAAAACAAGGATGAGGAGTACATCAAGATGTTGAAGCAGTGCAGCCCTCGGGCGTGTGAAGGCTGCAAGTGTGCTTGTGCGTTTCCTTGAGACACTGCATGAGGCAAAGCTTGGACATCACGACCCTTATCACTAAGATGCGGGAGCAGTACCATGCACTGCGACAACACTACGAGAAAGAGCCCGAGCCTTGTCACCCTGATTTTTCCTGAGCAGCCCCGGCTGTGAGTGGTCTGCGTACAGGCTGGGTTTCTTGACCACGCTTTCAAATCTGAGGCTGGAGGATATCGAGCAAGCCTTTGAGGACGAACGCAAAGAAATGCTGCAGAAGAACAAAGCAGAAATCGAGGTGGTCTTGTTTGCTGCTGCCCCACTGTACACTTACAGGCTTCATCAGCAAGAGAAGCATCGCGTGCTGATTTTTTTCTTGTCCTCCATACAGGCATGCTAAACTTAACCTTTGCAAGCCGGCTCCAGAATGAATGGATGTCAGGCGCTTTTTGAAAAACGCCGGCAGATGGAAGAGAACGAATTCCTCGAGAGGCGCCAGGCCATCTTAACTGCTCATGGGTTTGTATGCATTGAAGCTGCTTCTTCCACCAGGAGCGTGAACGAGGATTTCAGCAGCAAATAGAAGAGCTCCGCACCGATAATGCTGATGGATACAACAAGTGTGCTGACCTGAGTTTGTTGTTGACCCACGCTCCAGCCGCGTGGCGGGCAAGCAGGCCATCTGCCACTTGCAGTGTCTCCCTACTGCAGGCAAAATTGCGCTGGAGAAAGGCATTCAGGACATGACCTGGCAAGCTTTTGGGTCAACTGATTGGCATCATAAAGTCTTTGGACCGTAGGCATGAACGCATATGTCGAAGGAGCTCGAGCAGCACTTGGAAAAGATGCTTGCCACCTACCTCCTGAATAAGGACCGCGTTTTGGTCTTTGCAGGGTCCTTCCAGTAGTTGATCAAAGTTTGAATCTATGATTGAGGCTGGGACATCTTCTGTTTCTAGATTTTGGAAGGCAGTTTCAGTTTTTGAAAAACGTTCCCTGATACTTCAGCCGTGCAGAAATGGACCACAACATCATGCTGACAGTAGGACTGCCACTTGATCGCAGATCGGCTAATTGATTTTAGATCGGCTTGCTTTGGTACACTATGCATAGTCAAAACTGTAGCAGTCTTAATGAGGAATCAGGCTGCCAGCTATGGTGTAGCTGTGGGTTCTGCCTGCAGGAGAAGCTGGAATACAATCTTCAGGCTGCATTGCAAGGGGGCATTGGTCCCTTCTCATGGGTGCCTTTGGTAGGTGCTTTCCGAGCGAAACAAGGAACACACAGCGATCCAGTCCATTGCCTCGAAAAGTGTGTCGTCACGAACATGTTCAATCTTAGCAGTCTTAGCATATGCAGTAGTCAGACAGAGCTTTAGGCTTTCAAGCCTACCAACAGCAGCCTCGCGGATTGGCTCCCGTTGCTCTCGGACATTTTGAGGTCCTCATACAAGACTCGGTTGCATCGGCTGCGAGAAACACAGTCAGGCACCCAGGAGCTTGGCTAAATCTTGCTTTCCTCAATGTGTCACCTTGGTCTTGAAAGGAATGCTCTCATCAGTCGGTACAACACACTCGACCAAAAGTGCGCCGACAAGTTCTCCACTGCGAGACTCGAAGTCCCAAATGCAGAGGTGAAAAGCCAATCTTAAATGAATCTCAAGGTACAAGACCCACAATCATGAACTTACCGAAGAGTACAAGCGCCTGACCAAGCAGTTCAAGGATGCTGCTTGCCACACAGCCCCAAGCCATTCTACAGGGCTGAGCTAGCAGATTGTTTTCGGCACCAAGCAGCCTCCTTGGCAGGACCTGCAAGAGAAGTTCCAGCACTTTGAACAAGCAGATGAAAAGAAATTTAGGGAGGCCTGAGGCCTTGAGCTTTGGGTTCCTGAGGGCTAAGCTTGGGCTGTGCAGGTTTGGGAAATGAACGAAGCCGAAGTTCGTGGTCTTATGACAAAGGCCAGCACAAATGGCCTTTGATGAATGCATGACAAAACCCGGATGTAGCCATGCAAATACGAGGTGATGTGAGGGCAACATGCTGCTAGTACATCCAAGCTGTTTTATCATTTTGCCTTGGTGCTTGCGGAGGTTCTAGAGGCAGATCGACTTCTTCACGAACAGCAGTGACGCTGGCTCCTTCTTCTTCCATTCTGCTTCCTTGCTTGCGGCAAAAAGTGCCTCAAGCCAGGCTGGGCCATGAGTGGGTGCCTCCCAAGGAGGAACTGCTGCAGCAGGACACGCTTTTTGCACATTCTCGCAAACTCTTCGGAAGCCATGGAAGTGAGTGGACTGACAGTGACTGACATCCCTGTCTTGGTAGGAGTTGGATACGTTCTCAGAGTCTGGCACGACAACTGGCAAAAGCACCGCGCTGGAGCGAACGCCCCAGACAGCTTCCTTGCTTCCACGAGCCTTCCCATCCCCAGTTCAACAGAAGCTTCCTCAAGTGGAAGAATGTTGGTGTTTCTATGTAGTGGCTGCAGTAGTCCACTTTATGGTGGAAAGCCGCATCCTGCTTGGCTTGGACCTGGAAACCTTTGCTGAACTTCCTGAGGTCCGCTGAGATGGGTCAGTCAGACTCGGGCAAATTCTCCGCGACCAAGGTCAAAAAAGCTTAGCACTTAGTGGATGGCTGCCAAAGCACACATGTTGGTTATGGTAAACATCCCCTAGTGTGCGCTCTTCACGTCATAAATGGTGCTCACATGACCTTTGGAACATGGCAGCATTAAAAAAAGCCACGGGGCACTCTGCTAAGGTGCTAGACCTCATCAAAGAGGAGACTCAGTTTCTGCTGGACCTCAAGGCTTGCAGTTGCATGTGATATGCGCTGCTGGATTAGTTGTTGTGACCTTCTACGTGAAAGTTTTCGTCATGGCGGGCTTTTCCTCTTGATACCCTTTAAGTTGCTGGAATGTGCTTGAACATGTTGCCATGAGACGCAACACTCGCTGCAAAGCCCAAGGAGCAGTGATGGTAGGATGCAGCAGTGATTGTAAGAATCCAATCATCCTGCAAATTTCATAGCCATGCGACGGAAAAGCTCTGGAAGCTACGGCCTTCAGCGGCCAATCTCCCAGGAGATGGAGGCACACGGAGATGGAAACAGAAAGTGCGCAGCACACTGAAGTCCTTTGTTGTTGTAAGCAGGCAAGGCAAGTAGAGGTGAGGATCGCGACCAGCAATATGGAAGCACAGGCAGGCTGCCAAAGCTGTTCTTTATGTCCAAGGTGTTGTGCTGACGTGCTGCAAGGACTCAACTCTGATTGCGCAGATTGCTAGCATGGTGAACCGAGCCTACGGTTACAGGCACGGAACCTGTCCAACTGTTTTGTGCAATTCAAGTCATGTCGCATGATCTGGCCATCATTGTCCATGTGACTGTGTAGTAGCTGGGCTAGCAGGATCATAGAGTTGTAGATCCCGTGCAAAGGCGGATTTCAGAACATGATGTTCGCAGCCGAGTGGCAATGGGGGATGGCGGAGGCGTTTGACAAGCCTGCTGCCACTGTTGAAACAATTTCTCCTCACGCATCTTGACACAGGCTGCGCAAACAGGGTATTGCATTTGGCCTTCCGCGACTCGCAGCTCGTCGGCTGAGCCTTGCCTGTGCACAGCTCCAACTCCAGTTGGTTGGTTGATCTGCTCAGCCCGAGGCTGCTCGTCCACCATACAGCCGCCATTTACATGCTGTGGCTGCGGTCATTGGGGCTTGATGGCTGCCTGGCTGATTTCCGAGCTTTTCACATTTGTCGGGTTGTCTATTATGTCTTATTTTTGACAGCAACAAAGCTGAGGTCGTGGACCCTGCAGCTCAGGCGCAGTGCTAAGGTGTACAGCTTTTGCAGCTTTGCCGCCCCTTTGGCCTTGACCGGTTCAGGGTTCTGGTGTGGCCTCTGCTTTGGCCACCGCAGCAGAGCAGCGCTTGGCTCGTGCCGGCTGCCTGGCTGTGCAAATTGAGATTCTTGTCTGCATTCAGCCTTTTGCATCTTGCCATCCGACATCAGCCAGTGCAGACACCTTCCAGGTATCAGTTCACAGTCGGCGATGAGTTTTGTGAAAGGCTACGCGGTTGGTATGTGCCTTGCAGCGCAAACTGTGATGAGAGTTGGCTTTCCAGCAGGTGATAGTAAACACCAGAGATCTGAATGCCGAGGAAGGGCAGCTTGGATTCCGCTGTTTGACCGGAGCACCAAGCACCACCACAGGCAGTCGAGAGCAGCTCGTCAGAGCGACTGTGGGGAAGGGAATCATAGATCACAACTTGAATCCTGACAGAATTTCTGTTTACTTGGTAGTGGGGTCTGGGAGTTGCCTGCATCGCGGCCATCAACCAGCATGCCCGACATGTCTTGTATGCGTTTACCAATATTTCGAGGGGCAGATAACAACCAGAACAGTCACGAGTGAAAACACAGAGGGCAAAAAGATGAGGCCACGGCCCGGGCTAGGTCGGCTAGGTCATGGCATTTGGAGCTGACAGACGCGAGAATTTAACCTCGCAAGAAAACGGAAGGATGAGCATTTGGACCGCGGGTGAAGCTTTGCGAGGGGACCTTGTTGCTTTGCTGGTGCCCAAAAAGCATCCATCCTAGATCTATTTGTCTCATTTGTCCATGAGAGTCATCTTGGATCTTGTGTAGTTGGGCTCAGGTTTCGGCTGTGCCACAAGTGGCTGCGCCCGACTGGATGCTCACACTGCTGCCATCTCTGCGTTGTTTCATAGTTGGCGACCAGCCTGACGACAGCAGGACGAAGCGGGGGCAGAGTGCTGCTCGAGGCGAGATGCCGCAGTCTCCCTCTCTTTTGACATTGTGCCCGTTTCGGACACAAAAGGCTTCTTGATGGACCGGTAGAGAAGAGTTTGCTGCTTGGCAACAGCAGCTGGCGAGCGGGCCCGACACGGACTTGAAGAGGGTGGCCATCAAGTTCTTCACGCTCAGCAGACCTTGCGCAGCTTTGAGACGGTGCATGTGCGCGGGTTTTCTGCCAGCCTGCTCCCATCCCGCTCGCTTGCACCCACCAGTCGCCGAGTGAATGACCTTGGACCCGGAGCTGAAGTGCTCATACGGTGACTTCTTTTCCACTTGAAGCTCTGTTGGCAGTATGCGCTGTGCGGTGCATCGAGCGTTTGACAAAAGCATCCCGCCCCTGTGTTGTGTTGAAGTTCATGTGAGCAGCCCCATTTGAAGAATAGCGTGGCCAGAATTCATACCTGAGAGACCAGGCCTCCTTGGGGAATTAGATAGCCGCCCGGGATAGAACGAGATAGGTCAGGTTGTTGATTTCAAAAGGGTCGGGCACTCAATGTACGGCATATGGGCTAGACCATAACTGAAAGTCGTCGCTCGCATGCCCTTTGGGCGTTTGACATGTTTCCTAGCAAGTGGGTTGAGCAGGTTCGTGACCAGCTGGCTGAGCTGCCTCCTGAGCAGAGGGATGCCCGAGCCCAAGGAGCTGAAGACACGTTTTTGCGCCTTAAGGGTTGGGAATGCTGCTCCTGCACGGCGTGCCATGCTGGGAGTGGGAGAACTGCAAGCGTTGAAGCCGCTGATCAATCCTGAGTTGATGAGCTGAGCCAGCAGACATCCAGTCTTGTAGTAACTTACAAAAGAGGCCAGGCTGAGATGACAAGGTCAGTACAGTGCAGACTATAACTGTACGTTCAAAAGTACCATGCAGGTCTTGCAAATTGATGCGCTTCTTCGATACATTGGCGTGGAGGGGCAGCAGGACGTGGATCTGTGCGATCCTCAGTTTGTTTGCTGGGCAGAGGCGTTGTACCAGTTTGCGCTTGCGCTGGCAGACAGTAGGCAAGATGTTGGTATACGTTGTTTACTCTCAGAGGGTCGTGTAGCAGTTGAAGAACTGCAGCAACACATCTGCAGGCTGGTGCAAGTCTTCTACCGTGGTCAGGAAGAGGATGACGAAGCACTCATGGCCAAGTCCCCAGAACTCAGCTCCTTGCCATCCACCAGAAAATCCTAGATCACCAAGAGCCAAGAGGATTGTGCGCCTGCGCTGCTGATTTTAGCATTTTTTTGGCTTGTAGTGCGCGGACGGAGGCAAGCAGCAGCTGTGCATCTCGGATTTCTGGGGCTGTCTGTTTTGCTGAGGTTGAGCCTGATGACGTGTTACAGCTCCTGAAGGATTTCATAGAGGCATGCTTGAAGTTTGGCGCATAGCAGTGCTCGTATGAGCTTCCATCTTGCTTGGACAGGAGAAGGAGAACATGAGGATCGCTGACGTAGCACCAGATAAAAAGAAAAAGGCTTGGCCACCCAAAGGGGCAAGCCTTCACTGGTCAGAAAGCATTCGAAGAGATCCAACAGAACTTGAGGCACGAACTCAACAGCTTGGCAGCGAGAGTGAGGCAGATCGCAAGGCCATGTGCTGACTGCAATGTCTACAGTTTACAGAGGACGGAAAGATGCCTGAATCCCTGTACCTGCTTCTGCTGCTGCATGCTGACTGCTGACTTACTGGAAACTAGCTTTACCTGTTCCGATCGTTGGTCCACAGTCCCACGCTAGGCTCGTCGTCGACGGGAAGAGCGGAAGTTCTGGGAGCGAATGGGCACGGGCCTCTCCAAGCCCAGCGACGAAATGTTTTAGAGCATTGCTTCGTGGGGAGTCTGCAAGAAATGCAAAGGGTAATATCACGTGTCTGGACTTTATGACGAGGATGCTTATTTCGGGTATTGTTTTTTAGCTAGCAGGCCTGTGAATTTCCAACATTTGAGTCTTGTGCAGTTGTCATGGCGTCTGACCTGCAGGCCATGTGATCCCAGACATGAACTTCCGAGTGTGGAAGGCTCTGGAAATTGCCCTACCGATCTGTCAGACTACCTGAAACCGTTTTCAACAGCGTTTTGTGGGCAGAAATTCTAGACATGATTACAGGCGCTAGACGTCTTCCTGAAGCGCTACTACGACCTTCTGCAAAAGCGTAGCAAGGTGGGCTGGAACCAGCTTTGCTTCTGAAGCCCTGCAGCGCTTCTCCGAGGCTATTGACTCAGCTGTCTGGGCCTTGAAGCAGATGTGGTCTTGAACGCTGAGAAGTAGAGAGCAACAACGCTCGAAGCTGTGAGGTCACTATGCAAAAACAGAATGAAGAGCTTAAGGCACTGCTGGATCAGCGTCTCAGCCGTACTTACTGCTGCTCTTCTTCGGAGCTGCATTCGAGGAAGTCTTGCAAAATGCTGCAATTGAGGTACTTGGGCTCGAAGGTCAACGAGGAGCTGCAGGTTCCGCCTGGCACCAAGGGTTAGCTGCAGCAGAGGCAGCGGGTCATTGCTGTACGTCTGAGGCCGACCCACGTCATCACTGTGGCCAGACACCTATACTTCAGGATGATGCAAAAAGGTTTATTTATCTTGTTTGTGCTGCTTAGGCAGTCGATTCACAGGATTGTTTCATGTGCGGCTTCAGGCAAACAGTTTTGTTCCTGTAGGTCGCTGGACCTTAGTCACGGCATCTCGAGGGCAACCATGGTGGCCAGGTTCTGAGAGCAAATGTAGCGTTCGTGTCCAGTCATGGATATTGTTTTTCACCTGCTCTGGTATGAAGTTGCAGCATTGAAGAAAATTATATTTGCCACAGCTGCAGGCTCTGTACATCTCGCTTTTGCTTGAGAGCTGCCGAGGGAGGACGGCCTTTGGGGTGCAGCCTGTTTGCTTCAAAGATCTAATGCTTGAGGAGCAGGGCCATCCTCCAGACTCTCCAGCAAGCCGCCATGGGAATCAGCCCGCATGTATGCCATAATCGGACATGCTTGGCAGAATTTGGGCTACTCTGCTAGTGCTTGATATTGCTGACCTCTGCCGCCGGGAATGATTCTCGTTCTAAGTTTCACTTGTTTGCATCGGTTTCACTTGCCTACCGAAATGTGTGGGCACCCTCCACGAATTGGACAAGATCAAAAGTTCGTCCACGAGCACAGAGGAATGTTTTTGTGAGACGTCATCCTGCTTGCTAAGCTTAGCTTGGATTCATTTTTCTTTGGCAGATCGTGTTCGGCGTGGCGCATATCTATGCCTCCTTCAATGACAGGGGAGCGTTTCTTGTTTGGAGGAGTGGCAGAGTTGCCAGGAACTTAAGCATTTGAATGCCTGGGATGGGTGTTGTGTTAGACAGGATACCTTTGTCCACGTGAATAACCTGTCGAGAGTGACTGGCGGCATGCAGGCTGGGGGGTGGTTTCGAATTTTTCATGACTGCAACACTTCCCAGCATCAATTCCAGTCGGGATCCCATCGTCTCTGTTTGTCTTCTCAGCCAGTGGCTTCTTGATTGCTCTAACCTCTGAACTTCAAAGCACAGGGTTCCTTCTCATACCAATTGTCAGGTTGGATGAACGTTGATTACGCTGCTTCTTCTTCCCTTTGCTATAACTTTCCTGTACATCTTCCACTCCACGAGGATCCACCTGTCAACGCCAGGAGCTTTCCAAATCGCCTTCATTCAACACTCCTTAAACTTACTGGGAGTTCGCAAGGAATCAGGAATACAAGATATAGAGATATATACAGATTGTCTTCCTTCTTTCTTACTGATCAACAGCAAGCAAACTGAACAGTCAACAATCCCTAAGAACACTTGCATGATTCACGATCTAACCTGAATATACCTGCTAATGAGTTTGGTCCTTTCAGAGTGTGAGGTGGGCCACTTAATATCAGTGCAGTAGCGTGTTGATTCCCGCTGGCCATCCAGCCATCTGATGTTAGATGGGCTCCGTGTCGTCAGGATGCGGGATGGGTATGCCTGCCCGTTTGCTCTTCAGGTGAAGGCTGATTGAGACGAATCTTCGCCCTATGTCCAAGCCTCGGTCACGTTTAAGACACATCTTATACGTGCCTTGGGCATTCCTTGGAGTTCAGCCTGCCAGTTATATCAGCCAGTTTTGTTCTGCGATGAGTTGGCATGTTGAACCTCGAACTGCACAGTCTGAAGGATTGGTTCGGATTTTGCCATCAGATTTTCTGCGTGCTTTCTTTCAAGCAAATTAAAGTTGCCACAAGGCGGCGATGCTTGCAGCTCAAGATGTCGCAGCACGCTGCAAGGACGCAAAACTTGCCAAAATGTGGAAGGCGGTGTGCTTCTTCGCGTCGGTGGCTGTTATTAGGCTGTGGGCGGAACGCATCATCCGTGTATATCCATGTGTTGTTGCTTATCCCGACAGGGAAACCTAAGCCTAAGCATATCCAAACCAGTTCAGCCCATATATGAAGGAGCTGGGTATCGGAGCTTTGCACATTACGGCATTTTCTTTCCAATTTGCAGGATTTCTCTTGCCTCATGGTCTCGCGCCACAAGGTCCTTAGCATGCTTGTAATACCAATCATCGCGGAGTGAGCTGACTTCAAACTGCACTTTTTCTTATTCTCTTATACTTGTCAGAGCACGCCATGATCCTTAGTCAAAGTTTCCTTCTGATATCTGCTGATGCCTTCTTAGCCTCTACGTTGCTATCTGTTGGAACTTCAGCCATGCTGTCGTGCTTCCGTCAGGATGTCACGCCAATCCCAACAGACTGCACTCACCGAAAGTGCGGACGCCGTCGACGCCGTCTGTAGGCCATCAATTGTCTCATATGTTTCTACGCGTATACTGCAAAATCGCCGAGTCCAGTGCTGCACGTCTTAGTTTTCAATTTGCCATCGTCCGGAATGCTGGAGCCACGCGTTGGATCTGCTACAAAAAGATGAATCCTGCTTGCGGCTCACGTGCCAACTATTTCATGTCACCACAATGACACCCGAATTCTTGCTAGGCTCACAGAATTAGAGATTGTCGGGAGCGATTGATTCCGACATGTTGCAGCCAGCGGCGTCGCAAGTCACACGCCAGCCTTCTGCAAAAGAGCGCCTGATATGCTACAGCCAGGCAATAAGCTCTTGTAAGAAGCTGCTCCGCTGGCAAGAATCACTGCGTCTGTTGGAAGAGGCTTCTGCAAAAGGCTTGGAGTTGTTCCTTGGCTAAAATGGCTAAAGCAATCCAGGAACGACAAGCGCCGTGGACTTCCTGTGAGTGCGTTTGCCTTTTCAGGAATGTGATTACCATCACAGCGGCCATGGGCGCTTGCGCGGCAGCGGCGCAGGCACAGTCCGCCTTGAAGCTTTTGGGCGCCGCTTGGCATACCTTGGCATTTGTTTCGCTCATTTCAGCCTTCAACGGGGCCCCTTTCGTGCAAGATCTGAACCTTACACGACAACTTTCTGCCCCGAGGGCAGAAAGAAGGTTGATGCTATGATTTGTTCGGGGCCACTGAAAGAAGTCTAGGAATCCCGAAGAGATTCTGCGGCTGCCAAATGTAATTTCTTCGCATGTCTAACTATGATCTTCAGGCCTTCTCAGATTTCTGCAGATCCCGCTACGTGTCTTCAGCATGCTGTCTGTCCCGCCAAAGTTTTTTGTTGGCGTTTTGAATTTCTGAGGCGGCAATGAGCGTTTTGAGCAGAGTTGAAGGGATGTAATAAAGGGCGTAGCAGTGGCAGTGTGGGAGCAATTTGACGACCTTTCCTACTACGTGAGAAAGCGCCTGGAACTTGCAGCGAATGTGAGGTAGATGTGTCCTGGTTTCTGTCTCGGGGCTGCCAAGGAGCTGAAGGAAGTGGAGTTGCAGCCCAGTGTGATAACATACAGTGTCGCCATCAGTGCCTGTGAGAAGGCATATCACTGGCAGAAGGCCGTGATGCTGTTGCAGGAGGCAAGGGGATCACACGTGAAGCCGGATGTGAGCCTAGACATTCTCCAGTTGGTCCTACTATGTGTTGTAGGGTTCTGTTGTTGGCCTTCCGCGGCTTCAAGCCGAAAATCGTTCAACCCAGGATCATGTACAGCTCTGCAATCAGCGCCTGTGAGAAGTCGGCTCAGTGGGTGCAGGCTCTCTCAGTTTTGGGAGACATGAAGGAGAATGAGATCCTGCCAAATGTCATCTCGTACAATACTACAATTTCGGCTGTCGGTGCCGCCGAAGCGCGTGAGGTGTGGCGTTTGGCGATCCTACTGCTGGATGAGGTAGAGTCAAGCCTTCTGGAAGCTGATGTGATCACCTACAGTGCGGCCGTAAGCGCCTGTGGCCGGGGTTCTTGCTGGCAGCCAGCTTTGCAGTTGTTGGCCTGCGCTGAGCAAATGGCAATGCTGGACACCATCCTCTGTAGTGCTTGCATCAGTGCTTGTGCAAAGGCCGGTGAGTGGCAGCATGCACTTTCACTCCTGGATGGACTAGCGCTGAAATCCGTAGACAAGTCAGTGAGTGCTTATGCTGCGGCCATAACTGCTTGTGAAGTGTCCTCGCAGTGGCTTCGCGCTCTGCTGTTGTTCGAACAATCAAAGGTACGTCGCAAGTTCTCTGTGGTTGCATGCAGTGCGGCTATCACTGCCTGTGGCCACGTCTCTGCATGGCAACAAGGGCTGGCTGTCCTGTCCAGCCTGGATGCTGAGAAGTCCGAACCTAATGTTGTTGCATGCAGTGCAGCTTTAAGCCTCTGTGAAAAAGCTTCGCAGTGGCAACGGGCCATTGTAGTGCTGGATGATGCATGGCGGCTGAGCCTCCAAGTAGACGTGATTTTATATTCTGCCGCCATCAGTGCCTGCGAGAAGGCTGCCAAGTGGCAAGCTTCTTGTCAGCTCGCAAATGACATGCAGAAGCGTGGCATACAGGTTAATGTGGTTGCACTTAGTGCGATCATGAGCGCTTGTGCAAAAGTCTCGGAATGGGAGCAAGCGTTTCGCGTCATGCACAGCATGGAGACCTCGTCTATTGTATCGGACTTGATTGCATGTAGTGCTGCTTTGGCTGCCTGTGAGAAGGCCTTTGCGTGGCAGGCAGCCTGTCTCACGCTGTCTGCCGCTGACATGCAGAGTTTGCAGCCTGACGTGCTTATGTGTGCAACGGCCGTCCGTACCATGGCGAAAGCGACCCGATGGCAGGAGGCCTTCCTTCTTTTTGAGGATGCTGAGCAGACGGTGACCATGAACGTGGTTATGTGTAGCAGTGGCATCAGTGTATGTGAACAGTGCACAGCATGGGAGCATGCACTGACGCTTCTCGGTGAAATTGAAGATCTTCGCCTGCCAGTGAGTTCAGCTGCCTTCAATGGTGTCCTTAGTGCTCTGGGCACTTCTATCCAATGGCAGATGGCCTTGGACTTACTGTGCAATGCTTCGCAGAAGTCTTTACCAGCTGACACAGCAGCTTATGCTGCGGTCATCGATTGCTGTGAAGGATCACTGAAGCCAACGCCAGAGCTGGTACATGAAGTTCAGGGCATATTGTGGAGATCGCTTCTTCAGTTCCGGCCGCCAGTGCTTTCAAATGTTTGAAGCTGCGATAAGCAAATGCATCGGAGCCGGTATCGGCCTACAGAATCACGGAAATAGATGAAGCACCCGCAGCCGAAAAAATGTACCTTGCAAAGTGCAGTTTGCCAGGATACCTTCTCGATTATACAGGGTTTGGTCTGCTCTACCGCCTTCCCGCAGCACCACACTGCGAAGCCACTACAGTTGTCAGACGTCAGTTTTGCATACACGTCTTTTGCTTACAAAGCCGCTGTTTGCAGCAGTGTTTCTCAAGATGCTTTCGTTTGGCCTCCTTAGCAGGAAGGGCGCGGCTGAACTTCTGAATTTGCTGGCGTTGCAGCAACACATGCAACTGATAAAGTCAGAATCTTTACCAGACCGGCGTAGCGCTGGCAAGACATGCCTTCACACAGCAATCCAGCCAGCGGATTTCCTGCGCAGCAGGGCAGAGAGAAGCAACCAAATCTGGGAACTCAAAGCCCACAAGTCCAGAGTAAGCATTCTACATGTCCAATTTTCGGGGGTGGAAGTGAGCTGCAATGATGTCCTCTTGGTCGAGGCATGGCCATCATGGAGGCTGGCTCACTGGAACATAAAGCTAATGTTCTTGCGGTCGCAGCAGGTATTAGTTTCACATTTTCGTGATGAGTATGGTTGTAATGGTGGCTTGTGTAGCTGACCTCATTTCCGTGGTCCTAGTCTGTCTACGCTTGCTGATGCCAGCCGGAAGTGGAGTTCCCTATAAGTTACATTGAAGTTGCAAGCTGCCCTGTGGTGTTCTGTCCGCTGCTGCAATTCCATGCATGCACTGCTCCAGGTGGACGAGGAGTCTGTGGAGGCTGTTACAATTCCTGGCAGATATTGGCAGTAGAAGGATTCCTGACTGTAGGCGCAGCTGTTTCGTCTCTGCGGTTCGGGAGATGCTGCTGCAGCGCAGTGGCTTTGCGGCCGACAGCAAATGACTTTGGCATTTTCCGAAAGAGTTGTGAGACGTTTGAGCAAGGGCTTAGCAAGCATCAACTTGAGGTTGCTTCGCTCTTTGCCAGCAGATGTGCTGCATGTCCGCGATCGGGATCAACGAACGCCGTTGCTGGCAGCATGTGCCGCAGGCCTTGATTTTGTCGTAGTCTACCGTGACTCGAAGCCTTTGCTGTCTTTTTTTTACCGTTGGTCCAGGCCAAATACCAAGGCGGCAGGGGCTAGGGAAGGGCTGGCTTTCCTGCCACAGGGGAATGTTACAGCCACATGTTTTCTTGGTCAAACTGACCACTCCACTCGTTAACCAGAGATCCAAGGCTTGTTCATCTTCAGAGGTTGCAATTTGAATGCACCAACTTGCCCCCATGCTTTCAAGTTTGCAATGGACATGCAGCATGTCTTCGGGCTCAGAGTGTAGCACGTCCCATTTGTTGGTATCCAGGCGATTTTCCATCAACAGGACCTGTAGATTCTTAGCTCTTGCAGTTTGAGGCGCCTTCCATACAAGTTTTGTAATGCAGCTTTGAGCTGCTATGCGTGTTTTGTGAACGTGTGGCAAGCCTCGCCCGGGCCTATGTTCAGGCATTAATTGGCAGTAGTTTCTCCAAGCAAGCTTCAAAAGCAACTTTGCTAGGCTCACTCGACCTGGTCCGGCTCATGCTTGAAGCTGGTGCAGATGGGGAGGTCTTGGCCCACAAGGGGATCGAAAGCTCATGTGGACGTTGAGAAAATGCACTGACTCCAAGCGACTTTTGTGCAGGCGGTCGACGTTGACGGTTGCGGCTTGGCGCTCCTGGCTGCAGCCTCAGGACCGGGAAGTCACTGCTAGTTGTGTTCTTCATCAAGCTCCGTGTTCAGGTGCAATGACTGGTATGCAGCGGTATGCAGATTCCTAGAAAGGTGCTTTAGGTGTTGGTGCAACAAAGTACCTAGCAGGATGGTGTCAGGCACTCTAGTTAGATCTTCCCAACTAGGGGCGCAGTCCAAAGAGTCGAGGAGATTCTGAGCTGCTGGCATGGCTGATCCAACAAGGCCAGGCATGCGCTGGTTGCACTTGATGCTCGATGCATACAAGCTCCCTTCCTCCCAGGATTGGCAGACTTGACTGAAAGTGCAAATGATGGAAGTCGTTCCCACAGGTTTTGTGTGTGCTTCGAGATGCATGCCAGGAGGTTCGTTCAACTGACTGTGTCGGAGCTGAGGCACTGCGTTACTATGTGCTGCCGGTCAGGAGGCCCTGAAATTGTACTTGACAATGCAATTGTCTTTCAGCAGGATGACAGATTTCATTTAGATACAAGCAGAGCTAAAATGCACTCGTAAGAACCTTATGTCTTTTCTTCCAGCATCTTAGTTGTTGTCGGATGTTCAGTGTGCAAGGCGGAGGCAGGGCAGATGCTTCACTTCCTCTTGGATGGTCCTCCAGGTGCCAAGTTAACACTTGCCTTCTCTTGCATGTATGAAGCAGCATGTAGCGGCCTAGTGCTCCTGAGAGTCGGCACACATGCAAAGAGCTTCAGGTTTCTGTTTTTTCAGGTAAGGTTTGCTGGCCCTCAATGGGCATGAGAGGTGCTTGGCATCCTGCAGCCGTTGATTGCCCAGCTCATTTTCCGAACATCTCAACTGGGTGAAAAGTCAAAATCGTAGGTGCACGGCATTCCGGTGCGATGGCTTCGTTTGCCTTGTGACTGGTGCAACCTCTGGGATTGGAAGGGCCTGCTGCCAAGCCCTGGCACAAGCTGGTGCATCAATCGTCGCTGTGGGACGAAGCTCCGAGCGTGGACTCCTGAATGCAATCTGCCTCCCTTTGGTTTCTGTCTCAGTATAAGATTCGGGCCGATCATTTGATTGCGAAGCCAGCCCTCAGCCCAGGTCTGGCGGTGGTGGATGAGATCGAGCGTGTCTCAGACAAGGGCAGCCAATGCTTTTTCCATCAAGCAGACTTGCGAACAAAAGAAGCATGTGAGGCAGCTGCAAAGAAGGCACTCAGTATACATGGTCGAGTTGATGCATTGATCCATGCAGCTGGGATTTTCCCCTGTGCCGCCATCACGGAAACCACGGACGAGATGTGGGGAGACTGCATGCGCTTGCATGTTGATGCCTTCTTCTACTTGAGCCGACATTTGACGCCGTGCATGGTGGAGCGTGGGAGTGGCACACTCATTGCCATAGCTTCAAATTATGGAGTTGTAGGTGCTGCAAACAGCGGAGCATATACTGCTTCAAAGGCCGCAGTTATCGGATTATGTAAGAGTATGGCGCTGGAACTTGCACCACAGCAGGTACGGGTGAACTGCATTTGTCCCGGAGCTACCAACACAAGTATGCTGGGCGATCAAGAGGCCGCAGCCAGATATGCTCAAAGTTCCCCAAGCCGAGTGTTGGTCCAACCAGAAGATGTTGCCAATGCGGCAGTGTATCTTACCAGCCCTGCTGGCAGGATGGTACGGGGAGTGGAACTTTTGGTTGATGGTGCTGAGACTGCAGGGTTCAAGGATGCCTCATGATTTCGTCGCAGCCCGGCCGGGTCTTAAGCGAGCTGAGTTCCTGCTTCGGTAGAGCTGGTAGAGTTTACTCAAAACCCACGCTGGAGAGAGCAGCATCCAGATTCCCGATTTGGCGGTTTAGTGCGTGCAAAAATCCTTGCAGCTGCTCCAAGCTGAGCTAGAGCAATTGTGACTTGGCATCCAAGTGCTGGATGGCCGGAGGTGCCATGGTGGTGCCTTCACTAGAGGCCCGGCGTGCCTGGCAGTCCTCACCTAAAGTTGATTCTTCAGTATGGGCAAGGAGCGAGATGAGCGCGGTGCTGATGCGCTACTGGCTGCTGCTGAGGCTGGACTTGACATCTGGCACTGCTCCCTTTTCCCAATGGCAATCATACGCATGACTGTCTTGAACGCCGCGGCATTGGCACTCAGGTTGGCGCCGTGAACGCTGCACAGGTTCTATTGGCTCGCGGGGCACGACCCGAGAGTTGCGATGCTCGAGGCTCCTGTGCGCTGCTCGGCTTGCCGGATCCAATGACTGTTACTGTATTACTACCGACGGTGAGGGATTCCATCCTAACGTCAAATATCCAGTTGCAGAGGCGGCGCTTCCCCGAAAAGATCCTTGGACAACATTTCCTTCCTTTGTTGACCGTCACCGTGCTCCACAGCATGGCTTCTGAACAAGCGTTCGTCAAAGTGCCCTGGAAGTGGAGTTTATCTCAGTGTATGATATGCCAACCGCATGGGAAAGCAACACGATGTGCTTGCCAGACATATGATCATTGAGTCCCATGTTTCCTTACTGCTGAAAGAGCAGGGCTCATCGCTCCGCTGGCTGTTTGCAGCTTCGCGCATCCTTCGGCCGAGAACCGTGACCTGCGTGTGCTCTTTTGTGGGCTAACACCGACATTCAAACATGCCTTCGCCACAGTATACGACGGTGATGGGAAGAACATCACCAGGAGATTGGAATGACGGAATGCAACACAACTAGAACTGAGCAAATGCTTTCGTTTAATGGCGTCACGTCTTCTTTCACACTTATCCGTCGTTGTCGTTAATGTGTCTGCATGACTTGATGGTGTGGATTGGGCACATGTAGGGCCGGATCACAAAGATCACCTGGCTCGGATTGAGGTGCCAAGAAGAACTACTCATAGCTGCGACTAGATTCATGTCATACCAGAAGCGACACAGACCCGGCATTTCTGGATACATACAGGGGCTGTCAAATCGATGGCTTTGGGCGCTCAAGTTTGGCATGACACTTGTAGTTTCCTGTGTTTTTATCCGTATTTCAACAGAGACATTGACCGCAAAGGAAAGCCAGTTGGGAAGTTCCAGAAACACCCAAACTAGAAATAGCTGACGAGTCATGACTATCTTTCATCTGGTCTGTATGTTTGACCATGGTGACCGCACAGGATCACAAAGTACGCTACATGGCCAAATCAAGCATCCTTGAATATCCTTGAACTGGACAGCGCAGATAGATGATCTTGGCAGTTTCGTGCTACACTAGGGTGGGGAGTACAGAATCTGATGTCTGTTGGATGATGTTGGTGTCTGGTCTTTCAGCTTAGCTAAGCCCCATGGTACAGTGACACGGCAGCCAAGCCAGCTCAGCAAAGTGAGTTCTGGCAGCGCAGTAACGGGACCTTATTCGGCATCTTATTCATTGGTTTTCACAGAGGGTTCGTAAGTCAGCCACCAAGTCAGCAAGCAGCATTCAGGCTGCATTATGCAGCTGCTGGTGGCTCCACGCGGATGATGGACTTCTGTGTCAAGATGCTCCTTGCCTTCAGATCTCAACACTTAATGCAACCATGAATTTGGTGCAGGTAATGTAGAGGTGAAGTGGGGGTCTTTGACTTCTCCCCGTAGGGTTGAACGCACATACAGTTAGTCCAAATGCTCGTCCAGACCTTGTCTTTGAAAGATGCGTCCTACTTGTAGTGGATTCTTTAGTCAGCTTATGGCCTGGCACATCGTCTGCTTCTTGAATCGAAACGGGCCCTGTGATAGGCTCGGCATTCCCATTGATGCCAGAAACTCAGACAAGGGGTAACCTGGTCCATCTGTTTCTGCAAGTAGATCTCCAGAAGTGTGGGAATCCCATTTGCGTGTGTTGCAATTCTCAATGGCTTCATGCTTTTTCAGACTCCCTGCCACAAGGTGCCTGACAATGATGGTGACACTCCTCTCATGATTGCTGCGCACGAGGGCAATGTGGAGGCAAAGAGACTTGCGATTGCTGCAAACGCCAGCAAAAATACATAGTCCAAGACTGCTGCAAAACGAACCTCCTAAGCCTAGACCTGTCGTAGGTCGCTGTCCTTCCTGCTGCTTGTTTGTGCCAGCTAGATTTTCCAGATGATGCGTGAATGCACCGGTAGGGTTTCCAAAGCCAAGAGTAGGGCTTTGGTTTGAGAATAAATTGTTTTGAAGAAAGGGTTGATGGTTTTGTCGTCAGAACTTGTCATACGCGTCCGATCCTAGACGCCACCCAGATGCTGATCCCGTCCAGTTACATTCAGCGAGCGGACTGACCACCTGGGCAGATCACAATTGACACGCAATTGTGGAGCGTTTGCAGATGACAGAGGCGTAGAGACGTTGAAGCTTGGATGAATGAATTGCTGACATTGAAGTTGTTCAACGAGCTTCTAGCAATATGTAATAGTGGAGCTAAGATGCGGCAAGTCCACCTCATTTCCACACCTTCAGGCAGTACGCTGGCTGTTGGCAGCTGGAGCCTCACTTGAGCTCCGTAATGCAGAAGGCGAGTCGAGTCCTTCGTCCTTGAACGGGGTTTCGTGACGGGTAGCTCTCCAGGGCACCTCCAGAGCTTTTTTTTTTTACTTCGGGATAGTGTCGTGCAACCTTTGGATCCAGTCGGAGCTTTCTTAGAGCGGGCAGCTTGGGCTTTGATGGTTCTGCAGGGATGTCTCCTTTGCTAGCGGCAGCTGCCGGCGAGCAGACAGAGGCTGGCAACCCATTAGTGCTTTGCAGCTGGAATCGGCGCGGTCTGTGTGCTCTGCCTTGAAGGTCAAAAGCGTCTGCGTAGAGCTTTGATCCTTTCACGATGTCTTCTTCACTCTGCGCAGGTCTTGCAGTTGCTGTCTCACGTTGCCGGAGAGGCGTGGCGTCTTGGTAGGAATCTGCCGGTGGATCAGGAGTTCAGCAAGAAACTTCTATCACTTCCACATTGACCACGCGCTAGGCTGTCGCTGACTTGTGGCTCCGAGACGTGCAGCAGCATCCGCAGCTCCTGTTTCTTGGGTGGCTTCAAAATTCAAATTTTAATTACATGGATAATCAGCCTCTCAAATCTCAATCCTGTGTTGCTTGTCAGCTGAGGCTCAATTTCTTGGAGCGAGGTCTGTGATGGAGAGACCCAGCCGTGCGGTCATATTCGCCCAGGGCCTTCTGCGGAAAAGAGCCGTCCTCTTGGGATTGCAAGAAATTGTGGCATCACACCCAAAGCCAAGCATGACATCACGAGACACGGTAGAACAACACATGCCTTGCTTGTTGCAGCTCTCTCAAGTCACTTTTGGACTGGGAGACTGGGTTTTAGACCTCACCAGCCACAATGCAGGCCTGGAAGGGTCAGCCAGTGACGGAATTGCTTTGATTTTGGACGGATCCGTCTTTGACAAAATAGGTTTCACCTCTGCAGAAACGCGACCTGGCTACGTGCTTGGGTCTTGTGGGTTGAACTGCGCAAGGTTATGTGCACTGCTTCATGCAAGAGCGCCTAGAGGGCCTTCTACTTGTATGTTGACACGGGCAAGCACAGACCGTGCTTCTTGGCAGGTTAGTTTCGCCATGCTCTTTGCTCCGCTGGCAGTACGAGTCTCAGACAGGGGCTTCTACTCGTTGGTTCAGACTTACCCCTGGGACTTCATCTCAGACAGGGTTGGGGAAGCTTGCTGCTGTTAGAACACAACACTGGCATAGCCTCTTGGGGATGCAAGATGTCATACAGCGTCTTGAGCACTGAGCCAGACTTTGGGCTCCCCGCGCTGTTGCAGGCACTCCTTTTTGCTTCAGCTGAAGCCGGACAGGCGCCATGCCTGCTGAGCCTGACAAATGCCAAGGGCAGTCAAACACGCTTGGGGTTTCCGCTCTACTTGCGCACTTCTCAAGAGCGGTCTAGGCGAAGTGTAGCTGTAGTATATAGTTTAATCCAAATAAAATACCTTCATCTGACAGGGGTGTGTGTCGTGGCAAACCGAAATTAATGAGCTTCTACTCGGTGACATGATGGTTCTCATGGACTCAAAGTTCACGAAATGCCAAACTGGTGTAGACAGTGCGTCAGTCATTGCACTCACACCTTTGGACTCGCATGGTCAGATGTTCAGGCATCGCCAGTCGCGCAGCTTGCTGCGGAGGGAGCTCAGGCGTTGAGGCCTTAGTCAAAGTTTGGTATCAAAACTCGTAGGCCTGAGGGCTTCAGGTAGCACTTACACGTCACAGCATTTGGGATGTGAGGCATGCCGTAACTTGACCATGTTGGGCACGCTTTAGGTAGCCTGCAGGCAGCGGCACAACGCACACTCCTCATGCCCCTTAGTGCTGGGCTTTGAGGTCATCAGATGCCCACCTGAATTCGGTGGCCGGAGCGCTGACAGATCTACTGAAGTCCGGCAGGATCCTCGGAGCGACTAGGGACCGTACTTCCTGTGCATGGTCATTGCAAATCCTCACCCGCTGACACCTTTACGAGACAGCGCAAGCTAGACAGTAGATCAGTAGATCCATGTAGATCTGTTTGCCGGCTATGTGAAACATGGCAACCAAAAATGCTGACAGCCCTGCCTATCGAGCATCTTTGGGACAGATTTTGATCCGCGGATGAAAGATTCAAACAAGGCTTCAAACTCACTGCCATCATAGAATGGAAGCCAACTGTATTGTGGACCTGTATGTCTGCGTTCGTGCCGAGACTACTTCATGTCATCCCACACTTCAGTTTTCCATTCCTCTCCGGCAGTATGATTGCCCAAATACTGGCTAATGGCCGAGTCAGAAACCACATCCTGATTCAGAAGCCACGAATCAGAAACTACGAATCAGCAGCTAGCTGTGTATCAGAAATTACGAACCAAAAACTAGCGCACCCGAAATTCCGAGTCAGAAGCTAGCGAATCAGAAGCTGGGAATCAGAAACTAGCGCAAATCAGAAACTGTGAGTAAGAAATCACCGCGAATGAGAAACTGCGAATCAAAAACTGCCGCGAATCAGAAACCAGTGTGAAGCAGAACCGACAAATCAGAAACCAAGAATCAGGAACTGTAAGTCAGAAACCATCCATGTTCGAGGGCATCCCACTTCCAGAGCATCAGGTTTCCAGAACATTCATGCCCGAAGGATACTACCATCCACGTTCCGGGATTGGTCGCAGTAGTCCAAGCTTCGCCCCAATAGTCCAAGCTGGTGCGGAGTTCACATTTGATTCTGTAGCCGCTCCATTAGTCCAAGCTTCGCCACATTAGTCCAGGAATCATTCCCAGTGGTCCAAGCTTCGCCCCAGCAGCCCAAGCTGGGTTTCTGATTTTTCCAGTTGGTTTTCCGCTTCATCCGTTCTAGTTTCCGAATCAAGCGCAGTGAAGCCCGGTAACTTTGGGTGTCAAAGCTTGAATACTTGTTATGTTTCTCAGGGACTCAGGATTATATTGTCTCCATGCAAGCACGCTGAGGTGACAAGGGGACCGGCTCTTTGTCTGCCATCGCGCAGGCCGTCAAATCCGTCAACCATCTTCAACAGTGAGCTGTCTTGGCAACAGAGCCTGTGGCAAGGCGTCGAACACATCAGGCATTGTCGAGACAATCAAAGAGTTGCTGAATGTCACTATGAAAGGCCAGGGCAGTCCTGCGAACATAGCATCAATAGCCTGGCACAAAAACGCCGCTTGAATAGCCAAGCGAGTCGTTCACATGTCCCTACTCTGTTTACCTGTCCAAAGCCATTTGGTCGAAACTGGTTTGCAAACAGCATGCCGTTCATCTGAATGATCTGTACTGTGGCTGTCAGGAAGGCTCTACACGGCGCACAAGAACAGCTCTCCGCTCAGCGCTGGGTTGAAGCCAAGTTTAACAGTTCTGCAAGCAGAGCTACAAGTGGGTCTAAGTCGAAGGTAATTTGCCGGTGGAAGTATTCAGCAGGCTACAGCCTGTGGACGGCTTGAGGTGTTCGAGAACAGTGACCACTGTGGTTATTGAAAGACAGCCGGCTGTAAGGTCTGGCAGCCATTGCCGAGTCCAAGAAGGTCTTCACAGCATGCCGCCAGACCTACGAGGTTGGGGCAGTTTGTACCAGGTGTCGTCATTGGTAGAATTCCTACGAGGCCAAAGCATGGGAACGCCAAGTGGCTAAATCGGTGAGTGCAGATTGTGGCTCACATAACCCTGTCGAGGCAGCCGACCATGTTCGTTTTCCACCTGCCTCTCTGTTGCAGACGGTCAACGCTACCCCGTGGTACGAGGCCGAAGTTATCGACAGCTTTACCTTTGCTTTGCGGTTTCGCAAGCCTCTGAAGAGCTGATGCAAGTAAACGCAAAAACCAGCAACTTATGGAGGAGTACTTCGCGGCCTACTCGCAGTGCAAGACTTGGGAGGCCCAGATTGGCAGGGATATGATACTCGGCTGAAAGTAGAACCCTGGTCAACGTTCAGCCAGTGGTTGGAGTTTCTGGGCAACTCCGAGCGTGCCCGGTTGCCACAGCGTGTCCTTCCATCAATTGTGTTGATAAGGACGGCTTGCGACTACCATTGCACCTCAGAGGCCGGAGATGGTTATTGGTCAATCTTGGTCGCTCCCAACTTTTTGACAGTCCCTTACAGGGTCAACGTTCCTTCCCAAACTTTACTCAGTGGGGCTCCAGTGAACGTACATGACAGATCCCGCCTTGGTTGATGGACTTGATCTCTCGTGCTTTAGGATTAGGGTTGCTTCAGGGTTTAGTCTTTGGGTTTAGGGTTTGTTCGTTTTTGGGTTTGAGGTTTAGGATGGATTGACGGGGAAGTTTTCGTTGCATGCCTTTGATCCTGAACTGAGGTGAAGGTTGTCGGTGAGGATTGTACTTTCCTGGGCGATCAATGTGGTCCTCTTGACTGTGGCGTCCTCATATTGTTTCTTGCAGCGACCGGGGTAGATCACAGGAAGCAAAAGCAGAGGCGCACCCGTTAGCGGCGAAGGCTACAAGTCATTCCTGGAGCGAATGATCAAGGACCCTCATGCTTGCAGCATGCTTGTACGATGAAGGGGTCCATGCCTTAAGGTCATCAGTGGTTTTGATGTTCCGCTTTTGACATGCAGCAGTGCTGAAATGAGATGTACTGACATCGTCGACATTCCTTGCGTGTTGATGAGGACATCAAGTCTCATTTAGACTTCTTGGTCTGGGAGCTGACCTCAGACACCGCAAGTCCGTTTCGATTTTGCTAGCTGGCTGTGGTAGCCTTTTGCAATTGAAGAAGGATGGCATTGAGTAAAAACATATATAAGCAGCAGCCCGAAATAAGTACTGCCCGAAATGAGCACTGCGACTCAAACATGGCCGGTTGCAGCACAGCCGATTCAAGCACAGCCGATTCAAGCACGGGCGATTCAGGTACCAGGAAGGTTTGTTTCAAGCACAGGCCAGTTCAGGCACAGGCGATTTGAGCACCCGAATGCCCCGATTCAAGCACCAGACCGGACCGTTTCAGCACCAGAATGCTGTGCTTCAAGCACCTGCACACCCCAAATCAACAGCATGGCTCGAGGCAAGCACAGGTGATTTAAGTACTGAGTTTAGTGTCACCCATGAGCCTAGGTTTGCCCCACTTCAGCGCAGCTTTGGATTAAGGGTTCCTTGAAGCTTTCTGGGCTCTCTGGGGATTGGCATTGGGGTTCGTTTGGGTTTAGTGTTTGGGGTTCTTTTAGTTTTAGCGCTTGTGTCCCTTCAGGGGGTGGTGTTCTTTAGTGAATTCGGATAAGGGGATACCCTCAGGTGTGAGAGGCTAACATGCTAGACCCTCATTGGGTCCAGGCCTTGCCGGGTCTCGAATTTAGGACTCAAGATTTACAATTCTGGCAGGACGTGTAGATTTGAGAAAAAAGTGAACTTGACATGTTACCTTCCCTCTACATGTGGTCTCTTTGGCAGCTTCTCAGATCAAGCCGCTCGTGTGTATGGGCACCGCAATTCAAAAGATTAGGTCGTCAGCACAAGTTTGATATGCCCCCGTGTACGAAGTCTTTCAAGTCCCGTTGGCCGCAGGAAGGCGATCCTACCATTCCAAAAAAGGGACCCATTTTCTTGGAATGACCTTCAGTAGTATTCTTCACGCAGCTCATAAAGCTGCACGCTCATACACAGCAGATGGTTGAACATTTTCTTAAGGCGAGTCCACACATCACGAAACTAGTTAGTGCTTGTCTTGAAATGGAAATGCAGCTATCTTCTCATGGCGCAGAACCTCACGTGCTGTGACACAAAACGGGACATTACTCCGGTGCACAAGGCTCATAACATGCACAATGAAATTCAATTCATTTCTTTCAGAAGAATGCCTCAGCGGGGACTATGCGCAATACAATCAAAAAAACAGAACTTCCAAAACAAGTATGCAGCAAGTCACTCAGCAAGTCGGTGATGTTGCGTTCCGGTTGCCCGACCTGCCCGCCCCAAAAATGGAGCGGACAAATGTCGTAACAGGAACCAGGGGGGCATAGCAGGAGCTTCGTAACAGGAACCAAGCGGAAACGCGTAACAGGAACCACCGGGGTCCGTGTCAAAGCCATGCCTGGCTGCGGCCTCACATCAGTCCAATCGGTTGAATTTTGAAGGTGGCATGTTGCAGCATGCCCACAAAACCTGAACCTGAAACCCTTGATGATGGGTTTTGGTAGAAGAGCAGGCCATCAGCCTGTCCGGGCGACGTGATGTTTGAGCACTCGCCTTACCAAACAAGCCTGGCAGCTCCACATTGGTCAGAAGGGGGTCGGCAGGATAGGTGTAACCGTGAACCGGCCAAGGCCGACTGGTGGGGCGGGGGGGTTGACCGTTCCCGGTTCGCCGACTCGACGGTCCGGTTCGCCGACCGACCCCATACTCACATCGGTGGCTGAAGCCTGCCTGGCAAACGTTCCAGCTGCGCCCCTGTGAGGGGTGTTCATTGTTTTCTCCATGACCAGTTCGAGATGCTTGCTTGAGTCAGGGTGTCTGCTAGGACCAAACTGGTGCAACTCAGCCTTGGAAAAGATTGAGACTGATATGTCCACCCAAGAACGGGCTTGCATGCAATATGTTCCCCCATTCTTGCCGTGTTGATAAATCCCACCGTAATGGTAATAATAAGCTGGTACAGAGAGCCGTACTACTATATGTCACTGCCATCGCATGCACAATCCCGCCTGAGAAAAAGTCACCCGCAAAAGTTGCTGCTTCCTGCTGTTAGATTTCTGGTGATCTGGTGTTTGAGTTGGTTGTTCATGTTGTAAGCGAATCGCTTTGGGCAGCTCAAATGCCTCGGGAAGCTTTTGCTGAGTTGTGAGTCCTGCAACTTTTTCCCCAGGGCAGAGAGTAAACATAGTCTGTGCAGCCGCTATCTCAGCATCGTATACATTTTGTTTCTTGCTCCGCTTTTCCCACGGCATGCGGTGCCGTTTGTGCCTGTCTTTCGTGCTGGTGGCCATCAGTGTGTTGTTTCGGGAAGGGCTTTTGAGCGTAACATGGTAGCGCCCAGACCTTCCGGGTCCTGGCGTCTCAGAGCATTGCAAAAACAATTGCTGTCATCCCTGCTGCAAGAGCACTGTCCGGACTCAGGAGCGCTACAACGAGACCCATGGATGCAACGACATTTGGGGAACGGCCGAGCGTTGCTTCAAGGACTGCGATGGCCATGTCTCAGAGATTCAGGACCTTGTGCCTCGGCCTTCACAGCGCTGCTGCTGCAAAGGGATGTAATACTAGGTTACTAGGTATGGACGAAGTCAAGAAGTGCAAAACCAATCGGAGTCATTCTCAGCGTCCTGTGTGACCTCAGCTTGCCACAGCATGTTCCAGAGCTGTGGGATCTCATGTGCCCACTAATTTTCTACATTTTTCTACACGCATGGTGGGTGGACTGATGCATAGTCCTTCGCCCGCTCCCTGCACCTGGAAGCACTCAGGTGCCTTCCAGGCAGTCCGTCATCCCAGGACATTTGCAATGTCGCGGCTTTTACCATTGCTGAGAAAAAGTTCGATCCAGAGGATACAGGATTCAGCATTTGACCTTGTGCCACGGTGCAGGATGCTGCGCTCCGCGCACCCAGGCTGAAGATGCCAAGTGCCAGGCACCGGGATTGGTTCGACAGGTCTTTTCGCAGTGGTCCTCACAGCTCGCCAGGAACTGAAATCGCAGCGAGTCGCCTGGCAGACCTACGACCAGTGCCGGGAAGCCCGGTGACATGAAAAGCTAGACTGTTGAGCTCAGTTTCTGAAGGTTTGTAGTATGTGGCGGACTCACCGTAATGCCAGCGCGCTGCGCTTTGAGGCTATGACGCTGCCTTGCCACAATGGGAGACCACGCAGGCACCCGCAAATGCTCGTGCTCATGGCAGGCTTGGCATGTACATGGCATTACGTTAGGAGGAGCAGATCGCCGAGGGCAACTCTCGGAAGGCAGGACGCAACAAATGATGATGATTATGATGATGGTTATGGTAAATGCCATTTAGGCATTCGGAGATTCCGGCAGCAAGTGCAGTTCTTGTCTGTTTAACAGCACAAGCGGTTCTAAATGGTTCGTTCAACTGCATTTGGAAGCTCTTTGCTGAAGCAAGTTTATGCGTGCTCCTGAAGCTTGGGTTTGAAAGGCCCAGATGCGATCCATTCTGAGGATGCTCTGCTATGTGAATCTTGGCAGCGAGGTCATTTGCGAATTTTGGGATGCAGCCCAAACAGCTTTGTGCCTTTAGCGAGAAGCTTCCTGAAGCCTGACATTACCTACCCTGCAGGGGTGGACATGCGGCTCTGGCAAGTCTGCCTCAAAGAAAAACCTGATTGAGATAGACTGCTCCCTAGACTTTCTCCTTTTCCAGTGCTTTACTAAAGTGACTCCGCATGATAACAGAGAGTAACGCATTCAGTAACAAAGAACGAGAGCAATTGCAGCTTTTGACCAAGGAGCTCCTTTGGTCCAAGCCAGGCTGCAAAGCTAACGGAGTGCGCCTTGTTGGCATCATTTGGCATTCGCACATTGAAAGTGAATGTGGCGCTGGAGACTGTAAGCTGTGCTGCTCTGCGACTTGTAGCCTGAGCTGCGCAAACAATGTCCTGGTCGGAATGGCGTTGCTTCAAGTGAAGGCTACTATTGAAGCAGCAGACTTGGGTATTGCGTATGAACCAGCCTTCTCAGGCATGGAGAAGGACTTCGCTCAGGATCCAGAAGTGCTGGCGATGGCCATTGAGCCAGGCCAGTGATGCAAGAAATGTTTCTTGACTGCTCCGCAGTAAGTCCTGTGTGGCGTTAGAGATGTTGCGGGCAGGTGTTCCGGAGACTAAACTGGATGCCTTTAGCTGCAACGTCAGTTCCGCGGCCGCACCTGGCTGCCTGTCCCGTGCATGAACCTCACAAACAACTGTATCAACATGCTGCAAGCCTGTTTTGGCCGTGTCTGAAACCTGCATGAGCCAGAATGTGGGCATGGACACTTGCGCTTCCAACTCATCAAAACTAGTATGCTGAGCTCAGTGGGGTGGTTTGTGATGTAGAGCCAGCCCTTTGCATTTGTTTCAGGTGAAACCCCTGGCACTCCGGAATTCGATGCGATTCACTATGGCTCGCTGTCTGCATTGTTAGGCTACGAGCTGTCTCTTCGTTTTCTAGAAGCGGAGGATATCGGTCATGGTAGCAATATCCTTCAAACATTGCTTCGACCTGCAGAGATTGATCTCTGTGCCTAGAGGGGCAAGCTGTGCTAAGGAAACCTCCCATCGGGTTTGGCAACCTGCCCGCAGCTCCACTGTGAGGCGAGTCCCGGGTCATTCGCATTGGCGCTCCTGGGCAGGTAGCCCGAGCCCCCCTCCTGGCAGCTTAAAGGCGATGCAAGACATCAGCACGTGCAGCTAAGGGAAGCTTGTGCGGTTTGCTTGGTGTAATTTGGTCAGCTGGCAAGCCGAGGCTAGTGCGGAAGTGTTCTTGACAGCCCTTCCTTTGAAGCCAGGAAGCCTGCAACGGCAACGTCAACATCTCCTCCATCCGAGCCTTGGACGCTACCACGGCCAGCCGCCTGCAACAAGCACGCAGCCCTCTGTTTCACGCAGTACAGCTTTCTGACTGCTCCATGAAGTCCCAGGCAGCACCGCTTCCGGAGATGACCACAGTCTTGAACCGAGCTCTTCAGAACGTTGCAGTAGGACTGTGTGTACATTTCCCGGCTAGCAAGTGCTTGTAATCCTGAAGGAACATGTTCGCAACAGAAAGCCTCTGATGGACTAGTTGGGCAGTATGCCAGGATTCATGTTGGTGGAGTGTGTTTGTAAACTTTAAGATCAAACACATGTGTCAAGCATTCCTGACGTATTTCAAGCAGTCAGGCGAGCGAAGCTACAGGAAGCAAGAAGTTTAGTTGCGGCCAGGTGCCAACCAAGTGCTTCAAGAAGGCAGGCGGATCCGATGCCGTTTACTGGGACTTGGGCTCTGAGCAATCCGCCAGGGACACGGATGAAACATCTGATTAGTAAGGAAGGTGTGGTGGTCGTGGAGGCACAGCAAGTTTGTTTGCCGAGGTTGGCACGGTGACAGCCGACCCTGCTGCCACTGTTTCTAGCATCAAGGCCTCCTGGCTGGGACTTTGAGATGCTGCTTGCTTCAGTAGCCAAACAGTGATTCGTGGCCCTTTTCTTTGAATTTCCAGAGTTGGGGAGACGTCTTCTGTCCGCAAGTGGACGTGCCACGTTCTAAGGTGTACCTCACCAATGCTGAGCATGGCGCAGTCCTCGCCTCCACGGAGTGACTTGGCTGCAGTGTCACTGCTGAATCGCCCGCTTCTTTGGCTGTCAAGAACAGGATTCTGCTTTCTTTCAAGTCAGCTGAGTCTGCTGGTCAGCTTCTCACAGGTCATCATGCAATGTTGCCTTCACGTGGCTTGTGTCAAGGTGATGTAGGCTGCCATAGATGAGCTTGAAGCTTTGAAGCTCCTAACTTTTCACACGGTCTTTGGCTGAAGGCTTTGCGGAACCATCACTGAGAAGTCGAAGTCAGTGGATGCTTGACGAGAATTGATCGGTACAGAACTGTCTGTGGTTTTTAGCCCTTTTTTGCGGATGTTGTGTCGTGCTCAGGAGTGCGGCGCACGAAGTGCAGCTCGATACCTTGTGATGCAGCCGTTCATCACGGGCACCTGCGTCTTCGGCCACTGGGCTAAGTATAGCCTCCTGCAGCAGCACGCGATTGCACAACGAGATCTCCCCTTCAGTGATGGGAAACTGGCACTTCTGGGTTACACGCCTCCTGTTGATGTTTGTGGCACTTCTGAGGCGGCTGCACGCCCAGCTGGTGCGGTATGATGGTAGATGGCAGCAACATGACACAGGACGGCCAGGTTAGGCGGTACTGGGCCTCGCGTCGCCTTAGTTTCCAATGTGAGTACCAGGAACAGCTGGTACAATAGGATGTAGCCAGCATACTACGACGCAGCAGGTCATCTAGCCCTGGTGCCGTAACCCTGTCATACTACGTGACATCAAGCCCACGCACATGTTGAGGAGCCAATGTCCACGACCGGTAGCTCCTTCATGGGCGAGATTGTGGTGAACGCCACCGCCTAGTTGAAGCACAGTGTGCACACAATGCTAGTTCTTGCACGAAAACGAAGGCTGCTTTCTGCAATCATGTCCGAAGAGCAGTATGTGGCAGCTCGCGCGCTGGAAGGGGCTTGTGCATGCGACATGTGCCTTCAGACTGCTGGTTTGCACACATTTCATGAATTCTCTACTGATTGTCGCTTTGATCTCCCTACTTGCGCCGCTTCAAGGCTATTTCGGCACAAGCTGTACAACATTCGGACTAGACTTGACATAGACTTCGGCACACTTTGCATCATGATCCGATGACAGCTGTTCACATAAGGTTGTTGGTTTGTCAGCGGGATGAGACCATGAAGTTTAAGCTGTGAGTTGGGAGCATGCACTCGCAATTGCCCGTGGAACCTGTTGCCCCGGATGTGCACCAAAGCTGAACTACTTCAGATTCAAGTTTGTTGACATTGCAACATATTGCAACGCTTTGCATGCTGCCGAGGCAGGACAAAGATGTTATCAAAGAAATTGAGCACCTCGACGCGTTGTGGAAGAAAGAGCTGGTGTGATGGTGTTACGTTGTCTGGCTTGGACGGCAGCCTGCTACCCTTCTGCCATGAGAGAGGAGCAAGAGCCTTGCAGCTTCCCACGCTCGCGAAGATAAGCGGCATGTGCGACAAGTCAGCCCTGTACGTCCGTCACAATCCGTGACCTGCTTCCTGCACGCAAGGAAGTTGAGGAGGTCTATGGAATACCACTTCGCGAGACAGGTCATGCACCTTCAGGATGTCAGCTTTCAACTGCAGCGAGCAGCAGCTTGTCATGACAGTTATCCCTGGACAGGTTTACTGCTTGTCTTTGCTGTTGATTCCCGACGTTTTCGCAACAATCTGCAACCTTGAGGTGGTGCGCCAAAAGCCAAGTCCTTCAGGGGTCTTCGAGACAATACCAGAAGATGGAGAGATGCTCGGCTGGTCAGGATCAGGTGACCAATTCACAGTGCCACTTCAACTGCTCTTCCGAAGCTGCAGCAATGCCCTCAAGCATTCAATTATGGCTATCAGAAGCCAGGAGCAGCATATCCAGCGCGGAGTACCGCATGGCCGCCCGCGGTGAAAGCAGCGGAGAAGCTTGGAGGCACTTGTACGGCATCGGGTTTGGTAAGCTTGGCGTTGTCAGGAACCAAGCTTATGGGTGTGGCTACTGGCGATGTCGGTTCAATGTGACAGAGCAAGTGCACTGAGGATCCTTCTGATTACCGACTTCCTCCTGTTCTACCAGATCTTTTTAAACAAGGGTCTGAAAGATCTGAAAGATCCTTTCTGCCAGACGCTAGATCTTAGTGATGCTCCTGAGCAGAATCGTTCAAATGGCCGCTGCTGAAATGCCTTGCATGTCGCAGATGTTCAAGGTTGTTCAGATTGGCAGGGGATTCAGTCTGTGTTTACGCCTTATGAGCCGGCATGCTGCAAGCAATGCTTGCAAATATCAATGCAGTATCTTCCAGGTGATTTGCACCATGTTGGCCGTGGTTAATCCTCATGCAAATTTATCTTGAAATGTTATGCTGCAAGCAGTAAGGAACAGTTGGAAGAAAAGCCTCCTGCGGACCACTCCAGACAGAAGGGGAGCACCGACAGTTTGGACAGCATTGCCCCTTGGGTGCTTGCGTTTGGGGTGCAGGAAAGTCGCACACTCACCAAGATGCTTAATTGAGGTCAACGTGATGAATGTTGCGCCAGGAAGCGCATACAGTGCTGCATGCGTTGTGATTGATTGATCACATTCAGCAACAATTCTGGTTGACACACGGGTCCGATTCAGGTCTGGCATGTTTGAGGTTCAAATATTTTACCTCCAGGGCATTGTTCTGAAGAGGAATTAATGACCTGTAGTTATTTAGTTTCCTGAATCTTGCTGGGAAGACTTAGCGCCTTGCAGTTGCTACAGCAGGTCAAGGCCTGAATCTTTCTTTGCTTCACCAAGTCTAAGTCGTGCTAGTGTGCAGAGAGGCAAGGCAGACTCAAAAACAGGCACAACTCCAAGACAAGTAACTAAACAAGACACAGGCGACGACAAAACAACGCAAGGGAGCCGACAAGAAAATGTGGAGCGGTTCACGAAACCCTTCCCTACCGTAATACAATGAATTCGGGGGCCGCGGCTCCAGAAGATTTTTGCTTAAAGCCACCCCTTTTCATTATGCGGTGCTCAACCCGTGTTCAAATTCTTTCCTCTCAACATGCCAGATTGACACATTGCCGAGGCGATCGTGTCCCACCTCTGTCATTCACTAGAGTCGTCAGCCACAATGCCGTTGACATTCTTCAAACTACCTGTTGCATTATGAGATGACTTTGACTGCAACCCAAAAAATGTCGAAGCCCACCCTTTGCATCATGTGCTGAAACAGAAATTCGCAGCTATAGGCATATTGGGTATGCCCACCCCTTTCACAACACGAAATTGCAAACTCTTGCGTTGTTTTTCGGATTTCCTCGGTGCGGTTTTTGATGATGCCCTTGGCTTATGGATCTGTTCACGTTTCATTTTGTCCCATGTTTGATGATCAGGCCCCTCGATCAGATCTCAGATTCCTCGCAATTTCCTACTAGACCTGTGTTTCACGAGCGTGCGTTGAGCTCGCTAGTGTTGCTTTTGCAGCGGCTGAAGGGGACAGCTTTAAGGGCTAGCCGCCAGAGACCTGAATCGTTCGCCTGGGTTGTGCTCGTGCAGATCTGTCATGCATGAGGCTACCTTTGTCAGCAGCACACTCAAGGCCTCAGAAGGCAACTTGCTTGCAAGCTGTACGATCTGACCACTTTCAGTGTTGTCTATGAGTAGGAGGGAACGTCAAAACAAGCTCCGGTAGCAGCTTTCTGCAAATTCAACAATTCCTGCTTTTTAACAGTAGCCCACTTTCACGCTTCAGACATGAGGCGGCATGCAACGGAAATTGCATTTTCAACCACTCCAGAACAAGCATGTCGGAAACAGCCCATTTGTAGTGCCAAATTGCGCATTCTGCAAGAACGGGCCTACTCTGCAGCGCACAAGCTTACTGTGCGCCGAGAGTCCGTTCGCAAGGAGCCTGAGTTCGTGTGGCTATTGCTTGTTCCCGTAGCATTACAGTTTGACTTGATGTTCATGCATGGCAGGCTGGGCATGGTCTGCAGGAGACAGGAGCAACATCCCTATCGTCAATGGCGAAGACGTTGGTGCGTTCTCCAGCCTTCATCCATGGCATAACTGTGGTGATAGTGATTAACCTTGTGGTGCTTGGTATCGAGGCATCCTGGACTGCAGTGCGTTACAGAGATAGCAATGTTAGGTAGTTGTTTTTTTAGACAGACGTGCGTGTATAGCGCAGCGGCTTTGTTTTCGGCCCGAAGTTACTGTGGAGCGCGAAGAGTTCCGAGCACTCAGCTAGCCGAGTAGCTGCAATCGGAATCTCTGACAAGTTCTCCGGGTGGAGCCGAGGTAGATATGTCAGCCTCACTTGGTCAAGATGATATTCCCATCGTGTTTCCTATTGCCAACATGCTGGTTATTATCATCTTCCTTGTCGAGCCTCAGCTGCAAAAATGTTCAAGTGCCGAGGCAATCATCACAGATAGGATGTTGCATGCTTTCCACATGAAGCTGAGGAGCTTTGTGCCAATCTGCTTGCCTTCGGCTTCCGTGAATTCTTCTGTGGCCGCGAGCGCTATTGGAACTTGTTTGTGCCTTGAAAGCAGTGGGGGATGCAGAGGAGGGCAAAGGTTCATGTCAGAACGGCCAGCCATGCAACTACGCTTCCAGACTACTACCATTGTGGCATATATCCTGATACGTCATATGTCAATGTCGAGCTGCTTGTGGCTGCCAGAATGGCCGAGCCAGCTGATGCAATGTGCTGAGGACTTTTTCATCATACTGGTGTGTCTTGGCTTGGTTCACTTAACAAGGTTCGTCGTTGGCAGCTTCAGTGTTTAGCCCGCATGTTATCAAGCTGGAATTGAGTCTGACTCCAGCCCTGCTCAACAGGATTTTGGAATGGGACTGCCATACATGATGAGACAGGATGTTGTGCCACAGTCATGCAACTGTTTTTTTGACCTACGTAAGCCTCTGTGCGAAGCCGTCAACACCAGCAGCTTTCAATTCGGGTATTGCTTTGTGGGTTTATGAACAATTTTTCAACCATTCCCTTCTGTTTTGAGCACGGGGTTGAATTCTCCCGTAAAGGGTTGTATTGTCCACCCACATTAGTCATGGAGAAACGTGAGTCAATCGAACATTGGAAGCGTTTGGGATTTGGAAAAAGGAGTTATTTATATCTGAATGTGAAGGAGCTTGGTCAGAAGCCAAATGAGAAATTTTATTGGAAGCCTCTGACATGACAGACTCTGCCCAATGGAGTTGAGGTCTTCCCACTCTATTAGGGCCACGTGTATAGCGATATTGGCCCGAAGGCATAAAAGTAGAGGAGTATTCCAGGGACCCAGGATGATGGAATATGTGTCCAAGCAACGTGAGTCGGTTCTGGGAATATATTTGAGAAGGGGTGATTACTCTTAAAGAGTCGAAAAAAAGGCTAGCCAAGTAGGAGTTGGAACAATCCTCGGTGCTTGGATTCAAAACTCTGTGATAAACTGAGGATTAGATACGGAATATGCGGCGGAGGGACTTAGAATGAACATGGTTGAGTTTTGTAAGCTGAGCGGGGGTAAGTTGGAAGCTTTCCATGGCATATAGTTATATGGACTGAATAATAGAGCGATAGGCGGTGAGTTTCCAAGAGGGAGGGAGAGCTCGGTGTGCCAAAAGAGGACAGAGAAGTTTAGAGGCCGTCGTGGCCTGTGAGACACCATAAGAAAGATTTTTTCTGTTGTTGGACAGGGAATCAAGATAAACACCTAAGTATTTAACCTCGTCTGAGAGAGGTACTGGTTCCTGAGGAACAACCCCACCAAGGCAAGAGTGGCAATTACAGGGAGAAAGGAGGGAAGGGGAAAAAAAGGATTCGTTCTTCGAAATTGAGTCGTAAATGTGCACACTTATCAAAATTAAGAGTGAGGCCCCGCGAGTGGGCCTCATACTGCAGGAGGTGAAGAAGTCTAGTAATTTGCTCGGCAGAATTAGACATAAGAGCACTATCATCAGCGTACTCTAAGTCCCAAAAAGGGGAAGGAGTGGTAATGACTCCTGAAAGAAGGCCATACTGTGAAACATAGGAGGTTTCGACATCATGGAAAGATGAGCAAGAACGAAGTTAAAGAGGTAGGGTGAGAGGGGGCAACCCTGACGGAGACCTTTAGTCTCGGAGCGAACTTCTGAGGTTTTACCGGCGTCCCGAACACGGAACTTAGGAGAGTGGTAAAGAGAGAGGATTCTACAGCAGAAAAGGAGACGGAGCCAAACGCCTTAGATCACTCAAGGAACAAAACATGTAGAGAGTTTTGCCGTCTTTCATATATTTCGAGAATGCGACGCATAATAGGTATAGGTTGGTTAGTGGAACGTTTTGCCCGAAATCCGAATTGAGTAGAACGAATCTTGTCATCGAAGTGGTGAGCGAGACGCTTCTGTAGTAGGGAGGCGAAAATTTTATACATAGTGTTGGTGAAAGAGATGGGACGATAATTGGAGAGGTTACGTGTATCACGTTGATTTGTTTGACAAGCACAACTACTTCGGAAAGTGCCCAGGAGTCTGAAACATTCGAGGTATTGAGACAGTGATTGAAATGATCCAAAAGAAAAAATTTGAGCTTGAGTATGTAAGGAGAGCCTTTTATCATATCCGCAGGGATGGTGCCCGGGCCGGAGGCCCTTCTTGTACTTAAGGAACATAGGATTAGATTGAGTTCCGACATAGTGAAGGGAGCAGAACAGTCAGCAACCGGAGAAGGATTATCGGGAATAGGGAGTTGGGGGTCAGGAGCCTTCCAAGCCTTTTCGGAGAGATATTCGGCAAAGGTAGTAGCTCGGAGATCTTTTGCGGTGAGCTTGCCGTGAATATTAAAAAGGTTGACAGAACCTGGAACAAGTGGTTTACGAATAGAGCCGGCAGTACGCCATTGATGTATGGAGGAGCCGTGAAAATCCTCATGGAGGTGTTGTGCAATGAACTGCTTCTTATCTCGGGAGGCAGATTTTTTAATACGTTTGCGGAGAGATTTGAGCTCTGGAGCCGTAAGGTCAGTACAGTCCTGGAATTGGGAGATAAGTTCCAGGGTAGAGGAGGAGATCCAGGGCTTCTTAGCTGAAACAGGAAGGCAAGGTTAGGAGCTTGATCCAATTTGTTTCTGCCTCAGACGCAACGGAAATGCTCATCTCCTGCAGCTGTCTGGCTGCAGCAGGAGATAGCATGGAGATTCTGTTCTGTTCTTAGTTCCCAGGTCTGCCCCTATCCTCTGCTGCAGCCATGGCTTGTGAGGGTAAGTCGTCTGCCGCGTCTGACGCCCCTCCTGCCTCTACGAGGTGGGGTTCTGTCTGTCTGCCTCGGGGATTGGTGCTGCTGCGCAGGCCACCCCTGGTCGAGGTGGTCGACTTGGAGCAGGCTTGGACTTGTCTGTCCTTGCTCTGTTCCGGACGTCTGCACGTAGGCCTCTGCCCAGCTCAACGAGCCTGGCGCTTGGTCTCTGCTGCTTTTACCTGCAGGTGACTTGCTCGCTGCTAGGTCACCTGCTTCTTCTAATCCGACTGGGCCTTCACAGCGTGGGCCTCAGCTCTTGATCTGCTGGCGGTCGCCTCAGGTCGACTTCGGGCAGGCAGTCGTCTAGTCCGTTGTCAGGGCCTTGGAGTGCCTTTCTGGTGCCTGTTTCTGGCCACTGACTGCTCAGGTCTAGAGTCGGTCTCGCCGATCGGTTCCGCCTGGTCCAGCTGGACCAGGAGACCTGCTGCTGCTGTTCTGTGTCAGCATGTTGGGGCAGCGCGTGAGCAGCGTTCGTGCGTCTGCCACAGTCTGGCTCTGAACTCCCCTGTGTCCTGCAGCTCTCGCATTGCCCTAGATATCTGCGCCATGTCTCGTCTGACTTTGGCCACGATGTCTGCTGCCGACCCGACGGCTTTTGCTGCCGAGATCGAGAGTCTGCCCCCTGCGACGCTGTATTTGACTCTGTCAAAGCTCTCCACGAAGGGTCTGCGGCTCCTTCTGGATGAAAGCATTTCTGTCGTATCTGACAGACTCAACGCAGGAGACACAGCGGCCAGCCAGCTGAAGGATCCAGCACGTCAAAGCTGCTCCTGTGACCTCTGCGCCGACCTCGGGGCATGACACCTCTGCAATGTCTGCAGATGATGCTGCGCTGCCCTGTCTGCCCCTCTGTGGTCTGACGGACCAGATAGGCACTGCCTGCAAGGAACGGCCCCTGGTGCTGCTCAGAAGGTCCGCACCAACCCTGCCCCGTTGGGGCGGCCCTCTCTGCCCCTATGAAGAAATGTTCCTTCTGGAGCCTTGTGATCTGCTTGCCTGGCTGCCTGCGCAGACTGTACCTGAGCCGTTGCAACGCTTGAAGTTGCGCGGCTTCTGCATACAAGTGCCCCATTTATGCTGAAGGCAAAGACATTAAGGACAGCAAGTGCCTTAATCTGTGCCTTCGCCCTGTCTGCCTGCGCGAGCGTGGACATGCAGATCACTACTGCAGTCACTGCATTTCTGACGGCAGCGCCCGCAAGCATAAGGCCCAGAAGTCTGAGGCCTCTTCTGCTGCCGCTGCCAGGCACCAGTAAGTCTGCCTGCTGTTTATTTTGGGGTCTGTTTTTCGCCTTCTGACTACTGGTGCCTGCAGATTTGTAGCCTGGCTTGTGCGGTGCAGGGCCTCCAGCCTCGCTGGCTGTGTATTTTTATACTGCTTTGCCTGATCTGCCTGCCCACTCGACCCTGAAAAAGGTTGCTCGCTGCAACTGCTGTTGTAGGCTGCCTTGTGGGGGTTGACCTTGGGAGTTTGCTACATTTGCCTTGTGCAGGAGCAACGCCCTTCTTCAATGCGCCGGTCTGCCTCGCCTTCGGCGTCTTCTAGGTCTGCGTCTGAGGCTGGCACTGTCTCTGCAGCGCCTGCAGTGACTGTTGTACTGCCTTTCTCTAAGAAGGGTGTGGACTTTCTGACTAGGGGCCCCATTCTGCTAGCTCCCTGCCCCCGTGTGGGTTGCCTGCTGCTGGCCTTTTGGCGCCTGCCCCTCTGTCTCATCGGCCGAGGGTTCCTGGATTGGGCCCGGTGTGCTTTCCCGGCCTGCATGTTTGGCGCCAGTGACGCATGGTCCCAAGACTTGCATGGCATCTGCTCTCTCTGCAGCCATGCAAAGCTGCGTTCAGCAGTTTGTGTTATGCATCACTGACCTGCAGCTCTCCTCTGCGCTATGGGTGGAAGTTAAAGATGCTAAGCAGCCTGCAGCGTTGCTGGCTAGGGCCGTGCAACGGTATGCACCATCCACTTTGCAGCGCTATCTGGCTGTCTGGAAACAGTGCTACCTGCTCGTCGTCTACTCCTTCGGCACCTGCTTCGGGCATCCTGCCTGACTGGTTGCTGCAAAATTCCAGTCGCCAGGGCCTTGCTTCTGGCCCTTGGAAAGCTCTGTCCTGGATGTCCCGTGTTGCTGGCCTTCCGGCGCTGCAGCAAGCACTTTAACACTGCAGTTGCTAAAGCGTTCCTGCGTGCATCCAACCCTCAGCCACGGCGTGAAGCCTTACCCTTTTCACTCGGCTTTGTCTGCTGGCTGGAACGCCAGGTCATGTCGGCTGATTCGTCTCTGGCTGATAAGTATGCTGCCGGTTGCCTGCTCTGCGCCATATAGGGTTCCCTGCGTTGGGCGGATGCCCTGTGGGTGGCCCCATCCTCCATTCAGGTACAGCTGGAACAGGGCTGCCTGGTTGGGATATCGTCCAGAACTAAGACGTCCAAGACGGGCTTCGTCTGCGTGCTGGGGCCTGTCATTTT